GCTCATTTGAAAAAGGTGACGGTCTGGAAGAGGCTCCGCGTGGACAGCATCCCGAACCTAGGAGACGTGGAGTACAAAACCGCGGTGGAATTCATGGGCGCCGGCTTCCAGTGGCCAGTGGCCACTCAGGCTTCGATGTTGGCTCGGGCTGCGATCGCGCTCAGGGCGGAGTTCAAGAAATTGCCCCGCGCTGGCAACGCCACGGCGCGTCAGGCCATCGCCGAGAAGCTAGCTCATGTGATGCTGCCCGCCAGTGAAGAAACGGAGAGGGTGATGTTCAACCCGATGGCGCCGAGGTTGATGGACATCGAACTGGATGAGCCCTACTACACCAAGCTGCTCAAGACGGAGCTCGTGGAGCTGTTCCTCGTGCCGACTATGCAGCAGGACACCGAGAACACGGAGATGACCTTCGACGCGACAATTGGGATTCTCAAAGTGTACGGCGATTTGATGGAGTCGTTCCCGCTCGCCACTACCAACGTCATTGGCTCGATCACGACAGGAGTCCGTGGCGTCAGCTTCCTTGTTTCCGATGATGTTGTACTCCCCGACGAGGAGACGTACATGGATCGCGGGCTCGGAAACGTTGGCGCAACCCTTGGCCAGGAGGGGTGCATGAGGGCCCCAAGAGAGCCCTCAAGAGCATCAAGGGGGGGCACTATTCCTTCCAGTACCTGGATCTTGCGTCATGGCCCTCTTTCCAGGTACTGGAAGATTTTGCTAGTGTCCTCTTAAGGTCTCCTTGTGGCCTTCCTGTGGCCTTCTTGGGAGGCCTCTTGGGGCCGTCGTTGGGCCGTCTTGCGCGTCTTTGGGCGCACCTGGGCAGTCTCTGAGGTTTCTCGTGGCCCCTCTGGGGCCATCGGGGCGTCTGGGAGCTTCGATGGTCTCCTTGAGGTTCCCAAGATGGCCCCTGGGGAGAGCCTGGGCGGGGGGGGGGGGGCACGATGGCTCACGGGGCGGGGGGGGGGGCATGCGCCGAATGGCGGGCCTCAGAGGCTTGAGACATGTGACATGGTGCGTTCAGAGTTTTTGGCGCAAGGCGCCAAAGCTGTTTCAAGAACGCCACGCGTGCCCCAATGCCAGTTTTTGGGGGGGCCAGCGCTCCCCAAGGCACCCCGAATGCCCACATCCACGGCTGTGTTGCTAAGTGTTGCGGGGTATGTGTGTGTGTCTCGAGGATGTCGTTGTTTTTCTGATTTCGGTCTTGGGGTTCGCCCCGCCCCCCCCCCCTCACCCACCACCCGAAGCATTCCGGAGGCGCCGCGAAGGTCGCGTGATATTGCCAACGAGGGACCCGCAAGAGTTCCCCAAGATCGACCCGCAGGGTTGCAGAAGCCCCAGTGGCAGAATGTACGCGAATGCGGTTATACGGCGGTCAGCCTGTGGCGGCAGTTTGGGAAACGTTAGCTGTTTCGCTGGGTTTCGCGGGAGCCTCTCGGGGCGTCGATGGGGTCACGCGGGAAATTTTGCGGGCGCGTTCGGCTTTGAACGGGTGCCTCATTACAGGTTTCCTGGGGTCCCAAAAGGTTCGGGCACCGCTTGCTTCTTACGGTTCGTCGCCCCAGCCGCCTCGCGTCACCGCCCCCCCCACCCCCCTCGATGCCACCCGCCCCCGCCCCCAGGGCTTCTGGGCAGAGGGATGAGGGCCATTGCCGCCCTCATGCTCGCCCTCATTCCCTAGAATGCGTGGAGGACATCGCCTTCATCCAGCAGGGCGCGAGCAGCACCGAGACGAGGACCGTCAAGGCCTGCATCGGGATGGCGGCCCTCGGGAACAGCCTCCTGAACTCCAAGGCCGAGCTGCTGATGAACGCCAAGAAGCACACGGTCGTCGCGAAGCCAGAAATGGAGTCCATTGCGGCCCGCCTGGCGGAGTTCGAGACGCTCGAGCTTCATGATGACCACTTCGTGGCGCTTGCGGAGGGCAGCAAGTTCCTGGTGAAGTGGGCGAGCAAGCTTCCTGGTGGCGCCGTGGAGGCCTTCGCCCGCGACTTGCAGCATCGCGCCCTCAAGTGCGGCCAGCTCATCCTGGAGTCCAGTTCGCCAACTGCGCCCGCCCGCGCCGCCGCCCAGGCGTGCAAGAAGAAGTTCGCGGATGCGCTCGAGCACATCGAGTTGGCTTTCTCCTTGGACGCGGAGGTGGCCGAGCTCAAATTCAACATCGTCGACCATTTGAAGGCCGCGGCGGAGGGCGAGATGGCCGACGCCATCGCCTCTAGCATGCAGAAGCTCCTGGACAATTTGCGCGTAGACGCCTTCCAGATAGACGACGCGTTCTTCGATGAAGCGGAGGCGTTTCGCAGGGCGGTGACCGAGGCGAAGGGCTTGCACCTCCAGGGGGGCGTGGCCATGCCACTCGTGGCCAGCTTGCTGTCGTTGTGCAGAGATGACCTGACGAGCAGGTGCGACAAGGCATTGGATCTCATCCTCGTGCTTGGCGATGTCGCGGAGGACAGCGCCGCCATCACCTTGGAGTGCAACCTCTACCGCAAGGGCATTTCGATGCGGAAGGCGCTTGAGGTATACCGCGGCTTGACTGGCGATCTCGGGTCCAAGCTCGACGCCGCGCTGGCGTTGGAGGACGTCGCCATCATGTACCAGAAAGCTGCGGAGGCCGCTGGCGTCAAAGGGATCCATGCCCCTGAGGCGTTGCTGAGTGAGCACTCGGATGCGGTTCGCGCTGTCACGGCCAACAAAACAGAGTGCGTGACGAAGGCCACCGACTCTTTCAAGGAGTCGCTGGAGGGCGCGACTGCGCCCGAGTGGAAGACGTTCCAGGACGACTGCCAGCTCGAGGACATCAAGAAGGCGTGGGCGGACGCCAAGGTGCAGACCAAGCAGCTCGACGCTACGATCTCGGAGCTGCAGAAGGACCGAATCCATCGGGCCTGATGCTAAGGGCTCGGAAAGGTTGGAGAGGGGCGGAGAGGAAGGGCGACAACAGGGGGGACGGGGATGACGGAAAGGATGAGGCGAGGGCGAAGCAGGCGGAAGACGGGGAGCGATGGTGGGGGGAAGAGCGATGGAGGGAAACCGGGGGGATATCGAGAAGGGAGTGGACGAGGAGGACGAGGGGGGCGACGAGAAATCCGCGGAGGAGGACGGGGTGGCGCTTGAGGGAGAGGGCGGGGCGGAGGGGATCACGAGGACGAAGGGCACGAAGAAGAGGGAGCATGACGAAAAAGGAGGGCGAGGACGATGAGGGGGAGGGGGAGCGGGTGCGATGAGGAGTGGAGGCGATCGTATGGGGGCCTCCGCACCTCCACCGCCACATCCCCCTCTCTCGCTCCCCCCCCCGCTTCGGCGCCAACAGGCCGAGCGCGGGGTGGCGGCGCGCGGTCGCATGGGCGCGTGTTCCTGGCCCTTGGGGGCTGGCTGAATGCGTGCAAAAACATCGCGTTCGGCATTCCCCCCCGACCCCCCGAGGACCGCACCGCGCTCGAGGAGCTTTACCAGACCTGCGGCTTGCCGACGGAGGAGTTCCAGGCGGTCGCCCAGGGCGCCGCGGAGCAGCTGCGCAAGATGGCCATGGTTGTCTTGGAGGGGGAGGTCATCCAGGCGCTCGCGCTGGAGGACAAGGCCGAGCAGCGCACGCAGGTCGCGCAGGCCTTCAAGAAGGCGGCCAGCCCGTGGGAGATCCAGAGGTCGGACCTCCAGCCTATCGCCTTGAAGAGGGCGGCCGACAGCATCATCAAGTTCAAGAGCGCCGCCTAGTTCCCGAAGGGGCTCGATAATTTTCTCCTTGCTACGGGCCTGGGCCTGGAAGCACGCACCAGTTTGCAAAACAGAATTTATGATGGGCCATGAAAGACGGGTCAGTGTGCGAGCAACGATTGGCTCGTGCCACTCCCAGTTTTATATTGGTCGTCTCACTCCCGTGCCTACGTCCAAGTTTTCAGCCTCTCCTCGCTGTGGCCTCGCATGCCTGATGCCTCTCTGCGTCCGCTCCGCCGATCCACCGTATGGGGTCCGATGGGGTCCTCATGGGGTCTTTTGAGGTCCTCGCGCGGTATTCTGGCGTCCTTTCATGGGGTCGTGGGTCTCTCGCGGTGTCTCTTGGGGCCGCGTGGGTCCTCATGGGGACTTCTGGCGCCTTCATGTGGTCTCTGCGGTCCCTTCGCGGTGTCTGCTTGTCCAACCGTCTGCGGGATCGATTCTTAGATAGGGAAATACGTTAGCTTTGGCATCGACGGCGAGCGTAGCGCTCGCAACCGACCGCCCCGAACGCTGGGAGGGCTCTGGTCATGCACCCTCATCTGTTGTTTTGCCTGCCGTCGGAGTTGCCTATACCTTGATGCCTCTCGGCATCCGCTCCGCCGATCCACCTTGTGAAGCCATCGTGGGGGTCTTATGGGGTCCTCATGGGGCCTTCTGGGGCCTTTTCATGGGGTCTTATGGGGTCCCCCCATGGGGTCTCTGGAGGTCCCCCATGGGCCTTTAGCGGTCCTCATGGGTTATCACGGGGACTCATGGCGTGCGCTCGTGGACGGGGGGCGCCAGTTGCGAGCCAGGCCAGCTCGCGCATATCACAATTGATACCCTGGCAAAAAACAAATCCAAAATAAGCGATACCCTTAAAATAAACGATACCCTGCAACATAAAATAGCAATATTTCCAGATACCTTTCGAGCGCTTGTCGGCGATACCTTTATGGATACCGACACCTGCACACGGCCTCAGCACGACACCTTATTCCTATACATTTTATTCTTTATAGAGATTATAGACCTAGCACCATTTCAACAACATAAGAGAAGGAGCAGGATGAGGGAGAGGGGGAGGAGGAGGAGGAAGGGGATGGGGAGGAGGATCTCGTCGCGGTGGTCGTCGTCGTGGCCGTGGGCGCCGTGGCCGTCGTTGTCGTCGTCCTCGTCGTCGTCCTCGTCCTCGTCCTCGTCCTCGTGGTCGTCGTTGTCATCGTGGCCGTCGTCGTCGTCGTCGCCCTCGCCGCCGTGTCCTCGCCGTGGCCCTCGTCCTCGCCGCGCGCCCCCCGCAGGGCGCGGAGGACCTCCCGCTCTCGGTCGCGCTCGTCGGGCTCCCCGGGCTGGCCCGCGGCTCGGCCGCCGGCAGCAGCCCTCCTGCCGCCGCCGCCGCGCGCCTCGTCGGTCGCAGCCGTCGCCGCCGTGGCCGCCCTTCGGGTCGGGCGGTCGTCGGCCGCAGGCATCGGCCGGGCGGGCGTCGCCGCGGTGCGGTCGGGCGGTCTCCGGCGAGGGCCGTCGTCGCCCGGTCGCTGTGGAGCTGCCCCCGGCGCGCCCGGCGCTGCGCCTGCGCGAGGGGTTGTGCTAGCGGCCGCTGTCCTTCAGCTCCGGGCGCCGCAGGCAGCAGTCGTGGCTCCCAGTTTTTGTGCCGTATTCGGTCTCGTCCCCGACGTCCAACGAGCGATGGTGATTGCTTGTGCCTGGGTCGCGGCGGTGCTTGCTGAGGGATGGGAGGGTTAGAAGTGGATGCTAAAGTGATTTGTTCTTGGCCTAGCCCAATGTATCACTGGGCTACAAGTGCCCTATGTCAGCTTAGGATGATGAGGTAACTCTGCTAAGTGGGCTCCACCCACTCAACCCAGATCTGTACTCCCTGAAGGCACTCAGGGCACGTGCAGCCCACTTCTAAGCTGGTCGGGCTGGATAGAAAACCCACCTCAGCATGCACTTGCATCCCCCTCTTGGCAACCCCCGCGTCGATCCACTTGCCCGCGGCCCCTCCCCGATCTCGGCCTCGGGGGCCCGTCATGGGGCCATTCGGCTCCCACCAGAAGTGGGCCCGGTAGCGCGCAGCTACCCCAAAGTGAGGCGATGTCGGGACCTCGAATGTGAGGGGCCTTGTGGCCGCCGTCTACCTTGTCGAGAGCGTTCCACTACTCTCAAGCCGGGCCTGTCACTCTACAGGGGTAAGGTTCAAAGATAGTCAAACGCATTCTGGCGACGATCTGTGTTGTCTGTGTTTGATTGTTTGTTGGTGTTTGTTTGTTCTCGTCTTTCAACCTCTGCCTGTATGAGGACATGCCCGACCTGACATTACTCGCAAAGCGCCTTCTCGCAAACGTCCGACAAACACGCACACAGACACACACACACAGACACACACACACACACTCACAGACACACACACACTCACAGACACACACACACACACACACACACACACTCACACACACACACACGTGTCTGCTTCGATGCACTGGATCGTCGGACCCTCTCGGCGGAGGCAGGCCGTCTGCATGTACTTACTTTGCGAGTGGAGGCAGGATGCGCTTGTCTACCACGGGCCCCCAGAGAGCCGGCCTCGGTGAGTGGGCCGAGGGTCCTTGGGGCCGTGCGTCACGAGGGAGCCGCGGCGTCGGAGGCGGGGGCCGCCTCCAAAGCCCCGCCCGCCGCGCCATGCGCTGCGCCCACGAGGGTCAGGAGGAAAAGACACACACACACACACAGACACACTTAACTGTCGACTCCCAGGAAAATATGGGAAAATATGGGAAGTGGGGGGGAAGACACAAAACCCAGGAAATATGGGAAAATATTGGGAATCTGTTTACTAGTGTGTATTTATTTGTGTGTCCCAGGGCCCCTTCGGAGGGCCCCTTCGTGGCGGCACCGCGAGGACCTCGAGGATGCGACAGTGAGGCTCTTGGAGCTCTGGGCTGCTCTCGTCTCGGCCTCCGAGGTTGGGTCGGAGCAGAGAGGGTCGAGGGATCGCGCCGCATCGCCCGTGCGTCGGCGCGATGTGGCTCGGTGCAGAGCCCGATGTCTTCCAGACCGATGTCGCCGACGCAGCTGCGATGCGGTGCGATGCTCCGACAGCATCTACGCCGACGCCACTCGGGAGGCCTACATCCTGCTGGCTCGCGAGGCGCCCTCCTACATCCTGCTAGCCACGGACGGGTTCCCTGGCATCCGCTGACGCGATGTTGCTCAGCCCGCGGCCCCAAAAGTTGCGACCGCGGCCTGGGACTGTCACGACGACGAAGACGACGACAAAGCCGACGAAGCCGACGACGACGACGGCGACGACGACGGCCAAGATGACGACGATGACGACCACGACAACGACCACGACGACTACGGCCTAGGGGCCAGCTTTTTTTCCCCGATCCATTGTCGATGGTTCTGCGTCCGATTTCACTGGCCCCAGAGACCGAGCTCGAGGAGCATCTCGGTCACTCGCAACGGGGGGCAGGCTTAAGTCGGGCCTGTCCCTCTACAGGAGGAATATTTAAAAATAGTGAAAAAATCGTCAGGGGACGATTTTTGAATATCTTTAAATATTTGGTTTTTTTAAATGTTTTGCTCGAAATCGGCCTGTAGGGGGACAGGCCCGACCTAAGGGTAGGGGGAGGGGGGAAACTTTGGGAAGAGCCTTGCTTCTTAGAGGGTGCGGGCCTCATCCACAGATGTAACAGGCCCACGCCTTCTAAGGAGCAGCCTCCTCAGAAGCCCTCCCTCCCCCCTCCGCCCACCCTCCTTGTGCTCGCCGCCAAGCACCGACCTGATGGAGCAGACCGCATCATCGCGGCGACCAGGGCGCGCCCCGCGGCATGCCCGGGCGTCGGCCCTGCCGCCCCAGATCCGCAGCACCTCCAGGCGTCGTGGGCAGAGCCACGCCTGGTGCCCTCCTGCGGTGGCCGCCGCGGCCTCCGGGGGCCGACGACGACGACGACGACGAAAACGAAAACGACGACGACGGCCGCGGGGCCCTCGCGCCGGCAGCGGGCGCCTCCAGCTGCAGCGCCCCGGAGGCGGCGGCGGCCTGCTGAAGCGCCGCGTCGCGCGGGGGAGGAGCGGTCTCGGAGGTGGGTCGAGAGCCCCGTGTGTGCAGGGTTAAGTCGGACCTAATCCCATACAGGGGGATTTTCGGCGAAAAATAAGAAATACCAAAACAATAATGCAAAAAATATATCCGAAAATAGTCGGGGGACTCTTTTCCGAGTATTGTTTGGCCTTTTTGGAGAATTTGTTGGGTATTTTTTGTTTTTCGTCGAAAATCCCCCTGTAGGGGGACACGCCCGACATAAGTGCAGGGGCGGCGCCGGAGGCGCCGCTGGGGGGTCCAGCGCGGATCCAAGAAGTCCGCGCGGAGCGCCAAAAGTTTCTGTTCATGGCGTGCTTTTCTTCTTTTAGGGTGTGCGAAGGTCACAGCGGTTATGGCGCGAGAAGTCCTGGGTACCCTGGAGTGCCCCAGGGGTCTCACGGGAGGCTCCAGGAGTGGGACGTTCGGGGAGGCGGGAGGTTGTGAGGAGGACGCGGGCTGGGGAGGCAGAGTTGTCCACGGCTTGATGGCCAGTACTAGTGTGATTGGTTGTGTGGCGTTCTCCCCTGGCGGAGCTTGTGACGGAGGCGGATGGGGACGGGGACGAAGATAAGGAAGAAGCAGGGAGCGTGTGGATGAGGAGGGGGATGATGGGGATGATGACGTTGACGACGATGATCATGATGACGATGCCGATGACGATGGCATGCAGCGACCAGTAGGATGCAGCTCCCGAGAAGTTTAATACAGCATCGGCGCCAGTACGTCCTTGATCAAAGACCGGCCTAACCCCCAAAGGAGGACATAGTACCGATACAGCTGCCATCATTTTCGCCTTTTTTGGTTTCCTGGGAGGCCCTCGTCGCCACGGCTGGATTCTCTCCGATATTCTGGTCAGAGCGCACCACGAGAGAGGTCATTCAGCCTGCTCTGGGTTAGTCCTGCGCGGCCGTGCTGAATATTTGCCCTCATGTGAGTTCATCAGGTTTCAGGGCCCTTGTAGCAGGCTCAATAGCCCTGGATCGCTCGTACGAAGGGTTCCCAGAAGTCGCCTTCCAAGACTGAGCCGACGACGGGACCGTCCGCGCGAGCAGCGAACAGAACCGAACCGAAACCCCTCCCCAGCGTCGGGGGCAAGGTTACGGGGAGACAGGAAAGAACAAGCCCGAATTCTGCCCCTCGATGGAAGATATCACGACCATGGCCCAAGATTCCATCTCCCTGCGGCATGTTCCAAGCCGCATCGAGCTGTGAGGGCCTTGGGGCCTCGCAACCACCCGGTGCCCCTCACCTCGATGTCTGTTTGTTAGAGCCTTGGGCGCCGACATTGATGTCAGCTCTTCCTGCACTGGGGCCGCATTCGGCCCTGCCTCCTGCTCCTCGCCATCCTTGGCCCCCTTCCCCCTCGTTCTTGTCGTCTTCCTTGCGAAGGAGCGAATCCGGTCCAAATGCGGTCCCAGGAGTTTCGGACGGGGCTAGGACGAGGACGAATCCGTGCCAGAGCGTTGCGGAACGCTCTTATAGCGTCCCGGAACGCTCTGAAAGGGCCGCGGCCCCCGAGACACCTTCCAGAGTTGCTGGATCTCAGAGATTCTCGATTTATCCTCACCCGATGTTATTCTCGTCCTGGCTCTGTCTTAGTGTTCCAGTCCGGTCCAACGCAGGCCAACATCGGACCGCGCCGGGGGCCTCGCAGGCTCCACGAGGCATGGGTTGTACTCTCCGATGCCGGCATGCTCATCTTCACGGAGGGGGGAGGCAGGGGGTGGGGCGAGGCTCGAAAGCGACGACGACGACGACGGAATCTAGTCTCGCTTGCACGCCTCTTTGGCCCAGCAGCGACTGCAGAGGCGGCGGATGAGGGGGGCAGAGGGGGGAGGAACGCCCTGCGAGCCTCGCCCGATTCTGAAATCAAAGAAGCACCTCCTTCGTTCGTAGGGGAACAACAAATTGCATAAACATAACAACTCGGAGGTCCGCGCGGATTTCTAGGATCGGCGCTGGGGCCCCCCGTCTGCGCCTCCGGCGCCGCCCCTGGCGCGCTCCGCGCACCAGGGAGGGGGGTCTAGCGCCGATCCGAGAAATCCGCGCGGACCTCCGAGTTTTTATGTTTATGCCATTTTTTGTTCCCCTAGTTCGATGAGTCCCGCTCACGATAGATCCCCGCACCCCTCGCACGGCACGCCTGGGCACGAGCTCTGTCCCGGAGCGACTTGAGGAGTCACCCCCTGGGCGCCGCAGGCGGCCTCCAGACGCCGCACCCCCCTAGAACACCAGACCTCCTCCTTCGAATGCCACTCCTGGGAGGTCAAAGCTCAAGCCGGGCATGTCCCTGTACAGGAGGAGTACTCGATAGTCACAAACAGTCAGGGGACGTTTGTTTGGTTTTTTGTTATGTGCATGTTGAACATCTGATTTACGATTGCGTTTCTGCCAGAAGCCGCCTGTAGGAGGACATGCCCGACCTAAGTTAAATTCTGATTTTGCCCTGTTCCAAAATCCTGTTCAAGTCGGCTCCATCCCGCTTCAGCCCGCTCCACTCGCGGCCGAATGCGGCGCAGAAGCTTCCCAGTGGCGGCGTTCATTCTTCCTACAGTCGGGGCCCTGAAGAAGGAACCCTTTTCGTTGGGTAGGGGCTCCGCGTTCCTTAAGTGTTTCGCAGCTTGCCTCAGGCTTTCCTTATGTTTTCGATCGGAAATCGAAGGTTCACTTATGGAAAAAAGGGGCCTCGTTCCTTATTTAGCGTTCCTTAGGTCAAGGCCCCGACTGTATACCCCCTCCGACGAAGACCTCCCAGCAGTTGCCCCCCACTCCCCGCTCCTCCCGGGGCCCGCCGAGGCTCTGAGCGGCCGAGCGCGCCAGCTCCGCCGCGGGGCGCCGCTCCCGCGGCGCCGCCGCGGCGCCGCCGCGGCGCACCGCGCGCGCCGCGGCGGAGACCAGGCGCCGGCGCCGTCGGCCGGCGCCAGAGGAGGAGGAGGAGGAGGAGGAGGAGCAGGAGGAGGAGCAGGAGTAGGAGGAGGAGGAGGAGAGGAGGAGGAGGAGGAGGAGGAAGGAGGGAGGAGAGGAAGAGAGGGGGGCAGGAGGAGCAGGAGGAGGAGGAGGAGGAGGAGGATCAGGAGGAGGATCAGGAGGAGGAGGAGGATCAGGAGGAGGAGGAGGAGGAGGAGGAGGAGGGGAAGGGGGTGGAGGAAGAGAGGGAGGAGGAGGAAGAGGTGAAGGAGGAGGAGGAGGAGAGGGAGGAGGAGGAGGGACCAGGCGCCGGCGCCTCCACCGCTGGCGACCGAGACCCCCTCGGTGTGGGCAAGAGTCGTGTTCATTCGGCGGAGAGCGAAATCCTCCTCCTTTATCCTCCTCCTCCTCCTCCTCCTCCTCATCCTCATCGTCTCCTCATCCTCCTCCTCCTCCTTCGCGGTGGGGGGGTGGACTCAAACGAAGAGGAGAAGGTCTTCTCAGAAGGCGGCGGGACTTCTCAGAAGCCCTCGCGCCCTCAGAGAGGTTTTGTGTGTCCTCGGGGAAAACTTTACCACTTCTCGGGAGGCCATGGTGCTTCCGAGCCTTCTGAGAAGGCCCGCCCCGTTTCACTTCCGTCACGGGCTCGCCGCCAACCAGACCCCCTCGTTGCGGGCAAGATTTGTATCCATATCCACTGCGTCGTGGAGCTGTTGGCTCCCTTCCCCAGAAACCAGAGGCGTAGTAGATATGGATCTAGACCTACCCTCCAGAGGCTGGATTCTTTATCCGCATCAGCTGCGCGTCGGCTTTAGTGCGCCCCTTCCCAGAAATTTCAAGACGCAGTGGATATGGATACACCTTAGGCGATGCTTAAGAAAGCCTAAGTTTTCGTCCAGAGTCTCGATTATTCTTAACTTTTCAATGTAAATCCCAAGATTTTGATAGGAGTTCTGGGTTTGTAATCATATTATGAGACTATGAATTTCTTAACCCATGATTTCTTAAGCATTTCGCAGGGTGTACAAATCTCCCCCGCACTCGCGTCGTGAAAGATCACGACGCATGATGTGTTCGGGCGTCTTCGCTGAGTCTCAACGGTCTTCCAGCCTCGGGGCGCTCTCCATCAGCTGCGCCTTGGCGAGGGCGTTCCTCAGGAGGGAAAAAAACACACAGACACAATTAATCCTCGATTCCCAGGAAAATATGGGAAAATATGGGAATTGGGGGAGAAGACAAAAACCCAGAAAATATGGGAAAATATGGGGACTAATTTTATTTGTGTGTATTTATTTGTGTGTCCTAATTTCCCTTTAGTTCCATGGGTGGTCGGATCATCCCGAATGGCCGCTGGAGAGCCGAGCTATGGCCCAGGCACCCAGACATGGCTGCGGCGTCAAAACCTCGCGATGGACGCTTGGTGGTCCGCGTCTGTCAAAACGCCGCTAGGGGCTCCCGAGCGACATGAACCCCACCCTCCCCCCTCCGAAGTCGTGGTGGGTAGGGGCAGGTTTCGCACGTGGCCCCCTAGTCGCGACGTCGGGGATCTGGATCCGCTGCCCCCGAGAGCCGTGCGTTTTCCGTGCTTGCTCTCGCCCCGGGCGTCTGCGCCCCGTGTCTCGGGCCCCCCGGGGGCCAGCACGGATGGATCCTGTGCGAACGTCGGGGGCAACGATAGGGGGGATATGTCAGGAGTAGAATCTACGAACAGAAAGTGGCATAAACATAAACATTCGGAGGTCCGCGCTGGTTTCTCGGATCGGCGCTGGACCCCCCTGGCGGCGCCTCCGGCGCTTCCGGCGCAGCCTTTGGAACACTACAATCCCAGAGTCCTGAGTACAGAGAACAGAGGACACATGAGGACTTGGAGCAAGCTCGACTTCGTGCTCGCGGCACGGTAGCGAAATTGTATACATATGTATATATATACACATAGATGCATCTATGTACATGCATTTGTACATACATACATCTATACATGCATACATGTTGGCATGCATACATACAATGTTTACAGACAGTCAGGCAGGCAGACAGACAGATATACATATAAGCATACATGTATAAATGCATACATACATTCACACAAACATCTATACACATACATACGTATGTCTACATATGTATACACATGGATGCCAAAGCCAGGTGGATGCTCAGACTTGTGCCCAGTCGTGAGTTGAGGCGTGCATTCAACGCGCACCCAAGTTGATGCCAATCCTCCCCAAGTTCCTCATCTCCCGAAGGATGGTCTTGTTGGTTTATTTTCTCCGTCGAGCAAGGCCGTGCTGTGTTGTGTGTCCAGCTTGCGAGCTGCTGGGCCCGCTTGCACTTGTCGATGATGGGTCATGCCGTCATTTGCCACAAGAAATGCATCTGCATTCGTTGCCTTCCGGGCCCCTCTTGGAGAGCCGTCATATTCCAATCATTCTCCCCGCTCAAGATTGAAATCGCGTCCGTGTGAGTGCCGAAAACTCCGTGTACGCATTTGTGTGTTGGTGCTGAGCCTTCTGCAGGCAGTACGTGTCTTCAGGAAGAGCTGAACCGCGCTGAAATATGCCACGCGCTTTGTTAGCGTTGTGTTTGTAGCGTTTTGACAGTTCGTCCACATCATATCGTCTTGGCTGGCGCCTCCCTCCTTTTGTCTAGGTCCCCACAATATGCTAGCCAGCGTGGACCCCAAGCAGTATGATCTTGTAGCGCACAGGTGTAAACTACACAGCTGCACAGTGCAAAATTAGGTGGCGTGAGAAATGTGGAGGGCAAAACTCCATGATTCTGAATGTTCGGAGCCCCGCGCGGCTCTCAGGGGATCGGCGTTGGACCCCCCCGCCTTGGCGCGCGGAGCGCGGAGGCGCCGCCAGGGGGGTCCCGGCGCCGATGCAAGAGCTCCGCGCGGGGATCCGATGTTTGTTGGCCCCTGTAGTGTTCTCGTCTATGAACTTGGCATCGCTCGGACGTGTGCATTTCTCCTTCGGCGAGGACCATCGAGGAGCATCCTTGATCATTTGGCGAAAAAAAAACTCACGAAACCGAAAAAGACACATGGAATGGACGTCCGAGCGATGGCCAGTGAAGGTCGGCGTCGTGCTGGATCGGGGCGGCGTGTGGACAAATGGCACCGCCCATCGCAGCTCATCCTCGTTGTGTCCTGGCCCAGATGGAGCACATTTGCGGAGGTCTCCCCAGCGCCACGGGACCTGCCGCAGCAGGTCGGCGGACCGCCGAAGAAGTGGTTGTGGGCGGCCGTTGCTGTTCAAAGTCTCGCACATTTCGAAAACGTTTCAAGGGATCCGGCGAAGAGGAAACTGCACACCTCCACAGCGTCTCGAAGACCCGCGCGATCTCCTGGCTCTCGCCCGCGACCCCAGGCGGCGCTCCCGGCGCCATCCTTGGCGTCGCTCGGACGTGTGCGTTTTGTCTCGGCGAGGACCATCGAGGAGCATCCTGGATCATCGAGCAAGACAAGCACACAAAACCGAAAAAAGCGCACGGGGAATGGACGTCCGAGCGACGGCAGACATCTCTGGCGCGCTCCACGCGCCACGGACGGGGCCCAGCGCAGATGCAGAGAGGTCCGCGCGGGGCTCCGAGGAGCTGTGTGTCATGTTTTGTGTGCGTGTGCTTCCTCCTTCCCGGGCGCGGGGGGAGGAGGAAGGAGGAGGAGGAGGAGGAGGAGGGAGGAGGAGGAGGAGGAGGAGGAGGAGGAGGAGGAGGAGGAGGAGGAGGAGGAGGAGGAGGAGCTGTGGGTCATGTGTTGTGCGCGTGTGCTTCCTCCTTCCCCGGGCGCGCCGCGTGCCCGCTCCGACGTGCTGCGCAGCTGGCGACCGCCTGCCCCTCGGCATCGCTCGGCCGTGTGCGAATTTTCCTTCGGCGAGGGCCCTCGAGGAGCATCCTTGATCATTTTCAGGAGGGAAAAAAACACACAGACACAATTAATCCTCGATCCCCAGGAAAATATAGGAAAATATGGGAAGTGGTGGGGAAGACATAAACCCAGAAAATATGAGAAAATATGGGGGATATTTTTATTTGTGTGTATTTATTTGTGTGTCCTAATTTCCCTTTACATTTGGCGAAAAAACCACGCACGAAGCCGAAGAGCTCCGCGCGGGGATATCCGATGTTTGTTGGCCCCTGTAGTGTTCTCGTCTATGAACTTGGCATCGCTCGGACGTGTGCATTTCTCCTTCGGCGAGGACCCTCGAGGAACATCCTTGATCATTTGGCGAAACAAAACCACGCACGAAGCCGAAGAGCTCCGCGCGGGGATCCGATGTTTGTTGGCCCCTGTGGTGTTCTCGTCTATGAGCTTGGCATCGCTCGGACGTGTGCACTTTTCTTCTTCGGCGAGGACCGTCGAGGAGCATCCTTGATCATTTGGCGAAAGAACCACGTACGAAACCGAACAAAAGCACAGGGAGTGGACGTCCGAGCGATGGCCAGGCCCTGGCACTCCTCCGTTGTCCAGGAACGCCCCCACTGTGGATCGGGGCTGGGCTCACAGGGGGACCTTCTGGTCGATTCCGCCGGTGTGTGTGTGTGTGTGTGTCTGTGTGCGGTCGGACAGCTCACGATGGCGCCACCCGGCTTGCCCGGGGCGCTTGTCTGTCTGCCTGTGTGTATGTATGTGTGTATGTGTGCATGCATACATGTGTGCATGTCTGTCTGTCTGTATGCATGCATGCAGGCATGTCTGCATGTCTGTCTGTCTGTCTGTCTGTCTGTCCGTCCGTCCGTCTGTCTGTCTGTCTGTCTGTCTGTCTGTCTGTCTGTCTGCACGTACTTACGTACGTATGTATGTGTGTATGTATGTATGTATGTATGTATGTATGTATGTATGTATGTATGTATGTATGTATGTATGTATGTATGTATGTATGTGTGTTTGTGTTT